GAATATCCATTTGCAGCAGCACATCCCAGAAACCAAAAGAATATTCCAATCCAATGCAAACCTGCTGCAGGCTGATCATCTCATGGCTTAACATTTCCGTACCGTCTTATCACACTGGGAGATTTGCCAGCCTCTAATTCTCCCTTGCCGTCTTTCCCTTTGACACGTGTCCTAATTTTACATCGCTTTAAATTTGAAACTTCATAATTTCCCTAAACTTTTGAGCTTTCTTCTCTTTGGTCCTTCAATTTTTTTCTGTCTCAAATTGGTCCCTAAATCCTAAATCCTAAATCCGTACCCTTTTCAATGTGCATTTAATAAGGGCATAAATTGAACTTCATTACAAAAGTTAACAACATAACATGTGACTACTTTAAAGGCATTACTGTAAGAAAAATATACATTGTTCATCTCTAGCACGTGAATACTTATATTTTAGGAGTAGGTAATATTGTTTGTACTAGAAAAGATACTTTTCACCTTAGGTAATAATCGATTTGATCAAATGGTATTTAGATATGTTTACACATGTCACAATCTAAGTGGTCGTTTCGGTGTTACAAGGATGTGATGTCAAAGAGTTTTTTTGTTTTTGTTGAAATAGTCGACCGCTAATCTTGGCAAATTATATAATTCACGAATTGTTGACAACTTTGTACGGCAAGATTTTTGAGGACCAAAGTGAAATCACCACTAAAGCTTAAGGAATCAAATTAATTTGTAATGAACTCTTGCTATAAAAGTTTCTTCTATTTTGTGGTTACAATGGGTGGAAGCAAATTTTGTAACTACTCTGATCCTAACTCATCCCTCTTTCTTTGTACATGCTCTATTCTCATTTCAATGTGCTTTTTTATTTGTGGTTTCATTTTCTTTTTGATAAATTTTTTTGGTGTAACTATCATCGAAATACTGTCAAATAATATTATTAATTTACTCATATCGCCATCATATGACTTATCAATCCACTCATATTATGTGTATGTGCATTGTTATATATTCATAGTAAGTAAGAGGCAGTCCCACTGTCACACTAATTAAAAATGATAATGAGAATAATATAGGGATGCTTCCAATACTGATTTTACCATCTTGTTTGGGAGTATTTGTTTATTCACTTTTGTTATGATTTTTAATCTAACTGTATTTGTTGTGAAACCTCTGAAATGTTGTGAATCTTGTGATGAGTGAGAGATAAATCAAATTAAGCGTCTCATTCATACCGTGACACTGAGAATAGTCAACATTTTTCTATTACTTATTATCTAGATGCTATTGTGGTAGTATCTAAAGTTAAAAACGCACTGTCAAGTTAAAACACATTACAATATAAGATTGATTTGAAATACTTCCGCAATATCATCCCAAGCTTTGATATCTTTTATGAGGTAAATTTTCTAGTGGAGTTCCTTAGCCCTTCTCTCTCAAATCCCCTGCATATGACACTTTACTGCAATGGCTGACAGCAAATATGTTTAGACACTTAGGGTGTGTTTGTTGCACTAGACTGTCTCGAACTGAACTGGCTTCAAGGACTAAGCTGGACTGGCTTAGTGACGCGATGGTTGCAGTGTCGGACTAAGTCAAGAACTTTTTTTTTTTTTAAATTCAATTGTTTTTCAAAATTTTAATTCATATTTACTAATATTTTACTATTATTAATCTACAATTTTTTTTTCTCACTCACTCTCTCTCCACTCTATGTATCTTTACTTTCATTTCTCATGTATCCCATCGTTTCCGTCAAATTGAACTCTGCTCTGCATCTTTGTCCTCTCTCTCTCTCCCTTTCATTTTTCTTCTCCCAATTTCAAGCTTAGTCAAACCTTCTCCTTCCCTTTCCACCTCTTGCCCTTCTCTTTGGGTGTTATGCAATTCCCAGATGTGGTATTTTTGCAATTCCCAGATTTGGGGTTTTTTTCAATTCTCAGAGGCCTGGCGAGGTAAGCGGTTGGGAGTCGGGGTTTGTGGAGTTGGGGGAGTGAGAGACAACAGTGGCTTGGGGTTGGAACGCTTAGATTTCTTGTGGGGCTACAGGAACCTCTTCAAAGTCTGTCATGGCCGTTCCGACTTCACTCGTAGAAACGATGGCAATTTTTAGTGAAGAAATTCGAGACAGACTTGGATATCTTAGATTTGTTTCCGTCAAACCCAGTTGAAGGCGAACGCAAGAGACGGTCGTAGTGGTCCGAAGCATTTTGGGGATCTCGCTAAGACCTCCTAGCAACGCCGTTAGTCCCTGCGAGTCCCATCTAATCTCATTAAACCAAACATGAGACTGGATTAAGTGTTAGTTCAGTCCAGTCCAATAATAACTAATGAGGGCAAACAAACGCACCATTCACGATTTCTCTTCAAAACAACTAAACAAATTCTGAAAAGAAAGGAAGTGGTGAGTGGCAGTCGTACCTGGTGACATGGCGCGGCTGTCCCCACCAATGACTCTCTCGGAATCAGGCAATCATAGTTGTGGACAGGAGGGAGTTGCATGTAGCATCAGCACAAAATCGGCTGCGATTAATATTTTTGCTCGATTTGAGGCCAACCAAGAATTCGTCTACACAGACGCTAGCAGACAATAATAATGTTACACGTGTTTATTTATACTATTTGATGTAAAACAATGTACTTTCTTTGTGGCTAATGTTTTACTATCCAATTAACTCGAACAACTTTTTCTTTAGAAGCTTTTTCATTTGTTATTTTTTTAGAGGTTTTTGAACTTTAATCCTTTAAGGAGATTAAAATTTAATAAAAACTTAATGTTAAATTAAATATTGATTTTTGTCCTTAATATGTACTTAATTCAAATTCATATTATATTTTTGTTCTTATATTTAATAGATAACTTATTTAATGTTATTACTTTAAATTTTAAATTTATTATTATACACATTTTAATTCATTAATTTTATTTAACTTTCTCTAATTAGAGTACCTAAATGTCCGTATCATAATATATTTTACTAAATTAGTGTACCAAAATGCCCGTACCTAAATATATTGTAATGAACTAGTGACACGTAAGAAAATATGTAAAACTGTAAGTGTACCGAAAATTCCGTACCTAACTATATGATACTAAACTAGTGTACCGAAATGTCAGTACCTAAATATATTATACTAAACTAGTGTACCGAAATATATGTACCTAAACTTATTTAACTAATCAATACGCAGAAAGATTCGAATTTAGTGTAAAGAGATTGAGCACAATGCTCTAACTAATTTGATTAAGCTAAGTATGTAGAGCCTACCATTTTCTTTGGTTATTATTAGTTTTCAAACCATCTGATCATTTGCCCAGACTTGATTCCATTCGTAATCGTGAAGTCATAACTCATGCTAAGCTCGCTGTCATACCCGCTATGATGCCTTGCTCTGGTACCATATAATAGAACCCTTTGGTGGAATTTGCCTTCTATATTTTTGCAAATGATGACCCTTTTGATTTTAGTATTGATTAGTGTAAATTACCGCTTGTAATAAAATATAAAAAATAGAGATATTTTGGATGCGATCTCTAATCCTCAACATTCTTTGATTAAAATCTTAATAATATTCAAAGTTTGATCAAGGTCCCTTGACTTTGTACACCTCATTATATTACTATTAATATTTATAGTTTTATAGTTTTGACATTAATTGTTTGATATTTTATTAGATTTATAATCCTATAAGTTTAAAATCCCTCATTATAATACTATTAAAAATGTTTACAATAAAAAAATTCAAACTTTTTGATTGAATAAATGGATAAAAACTATGTAAAAATAATAAATAATAAATAGCAAAATAATGTATCCATAGTGTTAAAAAAATTGGTACATTTTACAAACAAATTGGTACATTTCACATATAACAAAGTGGTACATTAATAAAGAAGAATGGCTACATTAGAAATAAATTAGGGTACATATAAAAGATTATAAATTATGAATACAAATGAATTTTTAAAAATATAGGCGCTAAAAGAAATTAATACATGGGTAAAATAAACTAAAAGAAAATACTACAAATTAAAAAAAAAATGTTGCAAATTAAAAGTGGGTACAAACTAAAAATATAAATATATGATACAAAGTTTAGGAATAAAATATAAATATACCATATGTAATTTTTCTATCATTGATTAAATGTCACGTGACGGTATACACATGGGTACAAACGCAAATAAAACTTTAAAAAAATATGGGCACAAAAAGAAACTAATAATGGGTACAAATTAAAAATGAAAGAAAATTGGTACAAATTAAAAATATTTGCAAATTAAAATAGTACAAACTAAAAATAAAAATATATGATAAAAATTTTAGCCATAAATATAAATATACTAATTGTAACATTTTTATCATTAAAGGAATATATTTAAAAATAAAAATATTTTATTATTCAAATAATTAATGATGTTATTAATACCTAAGGACCTTGATCAAAAATTGAAAATGAATAGGATTTTAATCAATGGAATAACAAAAAGAATGATGTGAATCTAATTTTCCCATATATAATGATATTTAAACATGTGGAAGTTTGGAATAAACCATACAATGGGAGCTAATATAATTTAATATAGAACTTGCCATTTGCATGAGTTGAACTTATAAGACCTCTTACTTACCACTAGATTATAGTACTAATGACGTTCATGTCAACCCGATTGGATAAAAATAAGAGTTTGTATACAATTTCATTTGTATAACGCTTATTGTCCCCATCACTTGTGGCATTTCTTATAGAAGTAAAATCTTTAGTAAAGTTGGAAATTTTTCGTACGTGACTGTTACACACAATCATGTAATATTATTTAATTTACGTATCATAGACAAAATACGCGTGTTATAACGTGTATAGATTGGTAACACGGCGTACCTGTATTATTGTCTATCAATAGATAACTAACACGTGACAGTGATGGTGCCGTAAAGACCAAAAAGGTGTACCGAGGAAGTTTCAAACCAGTGCTATATACTTGTCCCCGCAGTAAAAACTTGTAAAAGCAAAGACGCGGGACGATTAATTGAGTGGAGGAAGAAGAGAAGACGGTGACCAAATAATTGGGCGGCCTCAATTCACTCGCATGCCACCACCACGCATTTTGGAACACACAGTCCCTCAGAACCCCCGCGCGCCACAAACTCTCTCTCTCTCTCTCTCTCTCTCTCTCACATGCACATTCATTCATTCAGTCACATGAACTCCACTGCCTCCACCAACCCCCAATCGTCAATGGGCACGGTGTTGAAGCCGTCCTCAGACGGGTCGGGGAAGAAGGTCCGGAAGCCATACACCATCACCAAGTCCAGAGAAAGCTGGACCGACGAAGAGCACGACAAGTTCCTCGAAGCTCTTCAACTGTCAGTTCTTCCTCTATTCGTTGTCTTTTTACTTTCAAGCATTCAATTCTGTTTTCTTTGTTTTTTCCGACAAACGGTTGGATAATCTACACTAAGTTCATCAAAACTACGGGAAAAGGAGGGTTTGAACCCGGACGTAGTGGGTTGAAGATGAAAGCCTTATCCACCACGGCAGTCCACCACCTGCCTATTTCTGTTTCAGTTTACTTGATTGCTTATTGGCTTTAATTGCTTTTTGTGTAGCTGTGTTGTGGTGTGCTTTAACTTCTTGTTTTGCGTTGTGGGTTTTATTTGAATTTTCCAAATTTCTGAACTTTAATATTCTTTTGCTCCAATTTTGTTCTCACTTTATTTTTTAGAATCGTGAACAGAGTAATGTAATGGGAGATTTTAATGTGTAAAACTGTAGATTTTGTCATTTGATGTTTAGTGTTATTGAAGTTCCGGTGGGATTTTCAGGTTTGATAGAGACTGGAAGAAAATCGAAGATTTTGTAGGTTCGAAAACGGTTATTCAGGTTTGGACCAAGTGTTTTTTCTGCTTTTTAGTTTGAAGTTAGTATGAATTGGGGGTTTATGAGATTGGGGTCTTGCAGATTAGGAGTCACGCCCAGAAGTACTTCTTGAAAGTTCAAAAGAGCGGGACAACAGCACACGTGCCTCCTCCGCGGCCAAAGCGCAAGGCTGCTCATCCTTACCCGCAAAAGGCCTCCAAAAATGGTTCTCCATTGTTAAAAGATAGTGGCATTGTGTCTTTCTAAAGCTTAAACCTTAATTGTTTTCACTTTTAATTGTTCAATATCGGAATTGGCAGGTTTACTTCCGTTGCAAGCATCCATTGCTTATCCTTCTTCAATGAACGCAATTGCATCTACCTATTCTCCTTGGGATGAAACTTCCATTTTGACAAACCCTGCATCCGACCAAATTCTGTTGTCACATGAAGAATTTACTAATCTTCATGGAACTGAAGGTATATTCTATTTTTCTAGTTGTTTTGCTTGATATGCTTACGGCAGAATAGCTTTGTCGAGAACTTTCCAGCGCTTATTATGGGGTTCGGCGTAACTGATTCAGCTGACATTGGATCAAAGGGGTTATCAAGGATTAACACATGCAGTCTTAGTGGCCCCCTGCCAAGTTCCGAGATACCAAATCAAGGGGAAACAAGCTCCTGGGCATCATGGTGATCATCAGACTGCAACTGCTGACTATATCTGTTCTCGACTTTGAGTTTCAAGAAAATTTATGGTGGAACATTCATGATATATGTATATGTTTTACTATTTTGCAGGTCTCCCTGATTTTGCCGAAGTTTATAGCTTCATCGGGAGTGTTTTTGATCCAGAAACAAAAGGTCATGCTCAGAAACTCAGGGAAATGAATCCCATTAATTTTGAAACTGTGAGTTGAATGAAATTACATCGCTTTTAGCAATTTGTTTCTTGACGGTTTCTAATATTAACAAGTAACAGTGGGATGAGAATAGTTACTACGAATCAATGCGCCTGTAGTTAAATTTTGTTATTTCTGCAGGTTCTGTTGTTAATGAGGAATCTCAGCTTCAACTTGTCCAGTCCGGACTTTGAGCCAATGGTAATTCTTACTATTTTGTGCTATTACAATCGTAGTGTCGTGTGATGTAACTTTTCTTCGCAGTTAGGCATACGTTTCTATTGTTTCTCAGTTATCCTTGTCAATTCCAATCTCCTTCTAGATTTAGGTATAAAAAGCAATGTGGATATTGTTTTTCTTTCACAAAAATTACCCATTTAACTAGTTATGTTTACATTACGACAAGAAAAAAAATTCCAGTTTTGCTAGTTTACGCATTTGCTAGCTTTTGGATTGCTGATGTATTCTCTTTGTTATCGTAACAACAGAGTTTCGATCTCCCTGAACTGGATCTCTTTTCTCATGTTTAAATTTGTTATGAGAATCAAATAGTGCTGCTATCAGTAATGAGTGTGACCTTAACTATAAATTTCACATGCTATCTTAGAGAAAAATGATGCGTAAAATAAAGAGACTGGTGAAAGATGACTCTGAAAATGCTCAAATTAGAAGTTTCAATAAAACTTTACATGCATGACAAAAAAAAAATTGAACTTTTCGTGAGCTGTTCTTCCTGAGAAAACACTTCCAAATCTTGAGAGTTCGATTAACTCTTAATGAAGCCTATCAGCATCCTCTCTTTATTCATCAAATGTCCCAACTTCTCATTTGGTTTGCCTTATTCCTTAAGATTTTAGTCTTTTTTAAAACTTGTGATTTTCTTTAATTTTGACTAATTAATCATGTGTATTTTGGTTCAGAGGAAGGTCCTGGTATCACATGATGTCCTACGAAAACAGTAGCTGCAGGAATCGTCGCCGCGAAGCTGAATAACCCTCTGTCATGATGAACTTCTTCGTAGTTACACCCGCTGACTGGTGTGTGTTTTGGAGCAAAAGTGTAGTGGTTCTAGAACAGAAAATGCCAAATCCGATGTTAGGAATGTAGTTCTGCAGACACAATGCATACAGCGTTAGAGGATTCTGAAAGGAAGAAACATTTGAACTGGTTTTCAAGCTGTGCAAAAGGATCTAAATTGTCTGGTGGCCTCAATGGATGATTTATTCGTATCCCCGGTTTTGTCCAGGCCTTCCAGACAAGTATGCATATCGTGTAACATGTGCTTAGTTGTAGTTTTCTCTTCTTTCTTTCTCTCTTCTCTTTACGTTTTCTGTTAAGGCAACAACAATAGGTTTGCATCTTGTGCCTCAAACAAATTTAACTACGACAACGGAGAATCCAAATTCTTGAAGCTGAGCTCGCTAATAGCATTTATCAGTCTGACGTGATGTCTTGAGTTAAATTCCTTCCCCTTCAACATCGTTGTATCAAAATAATGGTACCATTGATCTTCTCCAGTGTCGCATTCTCTTCAAAATCCCTAATGCATTAGAGGTAATATCATATCAATCAAATGGTCATTTCAACATTAAGAATGCCTTTGGTCAATATTTTCAATATCAAGACCTCATCAAGAAAATAACAGGGTTATTTAATTTTTTTTTTATTTCAAATTGTGTTTGTTTATAGAGGAAATTGTAGCAATGGTTCCTCAATTTTAACCAAATTGGAGCAATAGTTCATCAACTAAAAATTCATGACTAATGGTCCTTGAACTCCTCAAAATGTGCAGTCATGATCAATTTCGTCAGATTCGTCAGGACTTTCGTCAAAACGAGTCATGTTGGAAGAATCATTGCTACAATTGAGTTAAAGTTGTAAAACCATTGCTGCAATTGGATTAAGGTTAAGGGACCATTTCTTCAATTGTATTAAAGTTGGAAGGACCATTTCAACAATTAGTTTCCCATATTTGCCCCTTAATTCTGATTTCACGTGCGTGGCATGTGACTTATTTTAATAGAAGTTTTAGTGAAGTTGACGAAAATGACCATAGCTATACATTTTGTTGAGTTAAGGGACCAATGATTTTGAATTTTTAGTTGATAGACCATTGCTACAATTTTCTTATTTTTCCTATCATATGTCACAAGGCCCACAAACATTATGAGGCCCAACTGCTCTAGCCTACCTGATCTGGCCCATTATATGCTATAACTTCAAAGAAAATTATTTATTTTTTTAACAAAAATTGATAATATTCAACAATTTTTTAGCATTTCACAAAATAAGAAGAATACAGAATTGAATGTAAGAATATAATTTATTGACCCAAAAAAATATGTAAGAAATTCAAATTACCTTAATTTTATTTTCGAAATTACCAAAAAATTAGAACAAAAAAGAAAAAAAGAAAAAGGGGCGTCCAACCCTGAAAAAACCCTACGGCCCAAAACATTTTAGGTATAAAATCAAGTTTAAACTCATTTGTCACAACCCTAAACCCTCACACCGCATCTCTCACACTCCACGCACTCTTAGAAATGGCCGCCGCCGCTCGCCCCCTCGTCACTGTCCAAACCCTTGACGGCGACATGGCCACCGATCAGTGCCAGACCGTCGCCTTACCCGACGTCATGAAGGTGCCGATCCGCCCCGACGTCGTCACAGCCGTCCACTCCCAAATGTCGAACAACAGCCGCCAGCCCTACGCGGTTTCCAAGAAGGCCGGTCACCAGACCTCAGCCGAGTCCTGGGGAACTGGACGCGCCGTCTCGCGTATCCCTCGTGTTCCCGGTGGCGGGACCCACCGCGCCGGGCAGGGAGCCTTCGGAAACATGTGCCGTGGCGGGCGCATGTTCGCTCCCACCAAGATCTGGCGCCGCTGGCACCGAAGGATCAACGTGAACCAGAAGCGATACGCCATCGTTTCGGCGATTGCGGCTTCTGCCGTTCCCTCTCTGGTCATGGCCCGCGGTCACAAAATCGAGACCGTTCCGGAGCTTCCTCTTGTTGTCAGCGACTCGGCTGAGGGCGTGGAGAAGACTTCGGCTGCTCTGAAGCTTCTGAAGCAGATTGGGGCTTACGCCGACGCCGAGAAGGCAAAGGACAGCCACGCGATTCGCCCTGGAAAGGGTAAGATGAGGAACAGGAGGTACATCAACCGCAAGGGACCTCTGATTGTGTACGGAACTGAAGGGGCTAAGCTGGTGAAGGCTTTCAGGAACCTCCCCGGTGTCGAGATTATCAATGTGGAGAGGCTCAACCTGCTGAAGCTCGCTCCTGGTGGGCATTTGGGTCGGTTTGTGATCTGGACCAAGTCCGCTTTCGAGAAGCTCGACTCGATTTACGGGTCGTTTGACAAGCTCTCGGAGAAGAAGAAGGGATACGTGCTGCCGAGGTCGAAGATGTTGAATGCTGACTTGGCTAGGATCATAAATTCTGATGAGGTTCAGTCAGTCGTCAGGCCTATCAAGAAGGATGCCAAGAGGGCTCCGATGAAAAAGAACCCTCTCAAAAACCTGAACACTTTGCTAAAGTTGAATCCTTATGCTAAAACCGCAAGGAGAATGTCTCTTTTGGCTGAGGAGCAGCGCGTGAAGGCTAAGAAGGAGAAGCTTGACAAGAAAAGAAAGCCCATTACTAAGGTAATCGATCCAGCTTGTTTCTATTTGAATTCCTTTTGATGATATGTTACTTGTCCTTTATGAAATATGATTGTTAAACATAATTGTTGGTTTCGTTGTGAGGATAATTATTAAATATGATTGATTGGTTCACTCAGTTTTGTGTTTTAGAGGATTTTACAGGATGATTTGATTGCAAAATGATGTGCCTGCATTAGTAATTGTTGTTATCTGGTGTCTAATTATACTTGAAATGTGATAACGTTAAAAAGCTAATTCTACTTTAAATAGTACATGTAATTGTGTTGTAAAGATGTTTAAGCGTGCTACTGTAAAAGCAATGTTTTGTGTCTTTGTCGCTCTTATGTGAATCCTATTTCGTAAAAGCAATGTTTGTTCATGTGAAGTTTACATATACCAAGATTTTGTTTGATCATGTATGCTAACGTAGAATATCTGTTTATTTTGTCTAATACTTGTGGGAGTCTTGTTTACTTGTATACGATTGTAGGCTTGTGTGCTAATATACTTGTTGAATTTTATTTTGTACAGGAGGAGGCTACCGCCATCAAGGCAGCTGGAAAGGCTTGGTACAAAACCATGATCTCTGACAGCGATTACACCGAGTTCGACAACTTCACGAAGTGGCTCGGGGTTGCCCAGTGATTTAGTTTATTGCTTTAAACTCCTATAAGACATTGCTTTTGTTAGTCTATTTTGCTGTGGTGTTTATCTGTGCCTTTTGTTTACTTTTAGTCATGGATGAGAAGTTTATGGGAAATGAGTTTATTGAACAAGCAAGTTTTGATTTGTTATTCCTCCATTTGATCTGGTTGGAGATTTTCTATAACGTGCACTGGGCAGTGTAATATTTTTGTTACTTTTCCGCTATGCTTCGCTCTGATCATGTTATGGTCATTTGGTTATATTACTGCTTGTTATGATTTGGTTGCTTTTGCTTTGTTGTGATTAGTTGGTTTTGTGACTCCTGGTTGTATAGCCAGTTTGCCGTTGGTCCGACGAGCATATTTAGGATAGAATAGCCAGTTTGCGGGTTGGAACCCTTAATATCCAATGCAGTTAAGAGTCACAATTTACTTCTATTTTTTATGTTATCTTTAGGTACATAGGTGTTTTTATACTAAGAGAAGGGGGAGTTTGGTTAAATCTGACAATGGGTAATTTAATTTGGTATCGAATTTGTCATCTACGATATTCAAATCTAATGCTTCTTACTTTCAAGTGAAGATAAATATCATTAGACTATAGTACTGAGTGGCGAGTCACAATGTATTAAGAACAAAGCATATCCAATGTGTTCCCTAAATGAGCTTAATTTAGGAGGAATTTAGAAAATCTCATATCCAATCACGCTTTTGCTCTTCAACAACAACAACAAAGCCTTTTCCCACTAAGTGGAGTCGGCTATATGAATCCTAGAACGCCATTGCGCTCGGTTTTGTGTCATGTCCTCCGTTAGATCCAAGTACTCAAATCTTTTCTTAGGGTCTCTTCCAAAGTTTTCCTAGGTCTTCTTCTACCCTTTCGGCCCTGAACCTCTGTCCGTAGTCACATTTTCGAACCGGAGCGTCAGTAGGCTTTCTTTGCACATGTCCAAACCACTGGAACCGATTTTCTCTCATATTTCCTTCAATTTTGGCTACTCCTACTTTACCTCGGATATCCTCATTCTCAATCTTATCCTTTCTCGTGTACCCATACATCCCACGAAGCATCCTCATCTCCGCTACACCCAATTTGTGTACGTGTTGATGCTTCACCGCCCAACATTCTGTGCCATACAACATCGCTGACCTTATTGCCGTCCCATAAAATTTTCCCTTGAACTTCAGTGGCCTACGACGGTCACACAACACGCCGGATGCATTCTTACACTTCATCCATCCAACTTGTATTCTATGGTTGAGATCTCCAGCTAATTCTCCGTTCTCTTGCAAGATAGATCCTAGGTAGCGAAAACGGTCACTTTTTGTGATCTTCGCTAGATTGCTCCGATCATTAGTGTGAATAAGTATATAAATGGATAGAAATAGGAAAGCAAACACAAGATGTACGTGGTTCACCCAGATTGGCTACGTCCACGGAATAGAGGAGTTCTCATTAATTGTGAAGGGTTTACACAAGTACATAGGTTCAAGCTCTCATTTAGTGAGTACAAGTGAATGATTTAGTACAAATGACATTAGGAAATATTGTGGGAGAATGATCTCGTAACCACGAAACTTCTAAGTACCGGAGTGTGGTATCATCTTGACTTGCCTTATCTGTCTCATAGGTAGATGTGGCATCTTCTCTGGAAGTACTCTTCCTCCATCCATGGGTGGTATCTGTAACTGGTGGAGATGCACAAGGTAATGTATCAATTTCACTTGAAGCTTACTTGTAGTTTCAGGCTTGGTCAAGCGCGATACAAACCATGTAGTAGGAGTCTCCCAAGTCGCCGAGCTAGGGGATCTGCTGAAAGAGGTGACAGACAAGGTAAGCAATCAGAGCTCCGGCTGATTGTTCACATTCTCCCTATCTTACAGGCAGCATGAAGGATAAAGAGAAGAAAAATGAGAAGAGATGATATGGGATACTTTTGCTTTTAAAGAAGTAACTTTCCACAGGCTTATTCTTGAACTGGGCTGGAGGGTTTTCTGGTTTCCTCCAGAGTATAAGGCCGACTGAAGAATTTGAGGGTCAAAACAAGTCCATCAAATCTAGAGTACGTTCGACCCTGCTGATATGGGATACTTTTGCTTTTGACATAGTAGTGGATGTATCGGCACGTGTGCTGTTACGCTTGTCTCCACATGCTTCCTTGTATCCTTCTCACTTGCCCTATCTGTTCCTCAGGCAGATGTGGTATCTTCTCTGGAAGCATAAGATGTTGAAGATGAGTACTCGAGCAATGCCAGGTAAGTAATCAGGTAAGGGGTTCCAGGCAGTCAGTTCCTGGCTGGAAGCTTGATTCCAAGTGCTGACTGATTGCTCTCTTTCTCCTTGTCTTGCAGGTAAGAACAAGGCCAAAGGAAAAGATAGGGAAAAAACATGATATGGGATACTCTTGCTTTTAACCCTGATGATATGAGATATTCTTGCTCTAGTATAGCTTGTTTACAGAGGTATTATCGGGGGGAAAGAAAGCTGAATATTTCGAAAGGCTTCGTTGGGAGTGCCCTCTCAGATAAGAGGAAGGGTTGAGCATTTTTGCAGGTCTGCCTGTCTGTTGGGGATGGAGGTCAACATATATAGGAGTCTCCCTAATATCAAGTAATAATGCTATTCCTTTACCCTGCTTGGTCATAGCACGGTAGTGGGAGCTGCTAGCTTCACATGTTTTAACTCTGTCAGAGCACTTTGAAAAAGTGGTCTGTGGTATCTGGAAAGCTGATGTTGCATGTGAAGATTACAGACAAGCTTTATCCAAGGAGATCCAGCTCTTGAAGTTGGGAAAGTGGTGCTTCTTCGGTTTTCGAACAAGCAATCCTGTTGGGGATCTGGCTCTCGAGATTCAGAGAACGATGCCTCTTCGATTTTTAAGAAAGCAATCCTGCTGGTCTACCTTACCACGAAGCACAGAGGTTGACACACAGAGACTTTCCAATTATCCAGCAGTGGTACTGTTCCTTTACCCTCTCTTCGATTTTTGAGAAAGTAATCATGTTGGGAGTCTAGCTCTCGAGATTCGGAGGGCGGTGCCTCTTCAATTTTGGAGCAAGCAATCTTGTTGGGAGTGTTTCTCGAATGTGAGTAAAGGTTGGGCATGTTTGCTAGTCTACCTTGCCACGAAGCACAGAGGTTGACACACCGGGACTTTCCAATTATCCAGCAGTGGTACTGTCCATTTACCCTTGTGGGTAATAATATGGTAGCTAGACCTTCAAAATTTATGTGTCTAAACTTTGTTAGTGTTGTTTCTTTGCTATTCTTTTACCCTTCTTGGTCAGAGCGATGTAGTGGGAGCTGCAAGCTTCACGTGTCTCAACTTTGTCAGAGAACTTTGGTAAAGTTATCTGTGGTACCCATGAGCTACTGTTGCGTGTGGGAAGTGGGTGATTGAACAGTACGATTCATGTGCTTTCTACTTCGCCAGAAATCTTCGACAGAATGCCCATAATTTTCGCAAAGTTGAGTGTGCGTGTGACAGGTGCTGACAAGGCTGGAAAAGTAGGTGCCTCTTCGATTTCTGAGATCGGCTCTCGTGGTCTCTGAGCAGCCCAGCTTTTGAGAAAGCAAGCCTCTTCGATTTCTGAGATCGGCCTTTGTGGTCTTTGAGCAGCTCAACTTTTGAGAAAGCAAACGCCTCTTCGATTTCTGATATCGACCCTCGTGGTCTTTGAGCAGCCCAGCTTTTGAGAAAGCAAACGCCTCTTCAATTTCTGAGCAGGCGCCTCTTCGATTTCTGAAACTTCGTCGTGTGCAGATTTTTATAGGGGCTGACATTAAGTTCCAAAGCACACTTGAATATCCACCAGTAGAAGCTCAATTCTTGCACTTCTAAGATCTTGATTTGTCCGACCTCTTCTCTCTTCAACACCTTTGAAAATGTCTGGCCCCTCCGACCGTCGTTTTGACTTGAACCTTGTTGAAGAGGCAGCCCTGCCTTCTCCAGACAACATATGGCGCCCATCCTTCGTCTCCCCTACTGGTCCTCTTACCGTTGGGGATTCCGTGATGAAGAATGATATGACCGCTGCGGTAGTGGCCAGGAACCTTCTCACTCCCAAAGATAACAGACTACTTTCCAAACGGTCTGATGAGTTGGCTGTTAAGGATTCTCTGGCTCTCAGTGTTCAGTGTGCAGGTTCTGTGTCTAATATGGCCCAACGCCTATTTGCTCGAACCTGCCAAGTTGAATCATTGGCGGCTGAAGTGATGAGTCTCAAACAGGAGATTAGAGGGCTCAAGCATGAGAATAAACAGTTGCACCGGCTCGCACATGACTATGCTACAAACATGAAGAGGAAGCTTGACCAGATGAAGGAATCTGATGGTCAGGTTTTACTTGATCATCAGAGATTTGTGGGTTTGTTCCAAAGGCATTTATTGACTTCGTCTTCTGGGGCTGTACCGCGTAATGAAGCTCCAAATGATCAACCTCTGATGCCTCCTCCTTCTAGGGTTCTGTCCAGTACTGAGGCTTCGAATGATCCCCCTCCGGTGCCTTCTCTTTCTGGGGCTTTACCGACTGCTGAGACTTCTCCTAAGCAACCTTTGTGAAGGCTCCCTCTTGTTTGTTTATTTTGACTCAAGTATATGTACATATTTGTAACTTATCGGGGATATCAATAAATAAGCTTTCCTTCATTTCAACGTATTGTGTTAAATACACCAAAGCTTTCTTCGCTAAGTTCTTTGAATTTTCTTTTGTTGAAGCTTTGTGAGTGGAGCATGTAGGTTGAGGTAGTGTTCCCTTAATTTCCCGAGTGAGGAAAACTTTTCGCTTGGAGACTTGGAAAATCCAAGTCACTGAGTGGGATCGGCTATATGAATCTTAGAACGCCATTGTGTTCTGTCCTGTGTCATGTCCTCCGTTAGATCCAAGTACTCTAAGTCTTTTCTTAGGGCCTCTTCCAAAGATTTCCTAGGTCTTCCTCTACCCCTTCAGCCCTGAACCTCTGTCCCATAGTCGCATCTTCTAATCGGAGCGTTAGTAGGCCTTCTTTGCACATGTCCAAACCACCGTAACCGATTTTCTCTCATATTTCCTTCAATTTCGGCTACTCCTACTTTACCCCGGATATCCTCATTCCTAATCTTATCCTTTCTCGTGTGCCCACACATCCAACGAAGCATCCTCATCTCCGTTACACCCATTTTGTGTACGTGTTGATGCTTCACCGCCCAACATTCTGTGCCATACAGCATCGCCGGCCTTATTGCCGTCCTATAAAATTTTCCCTTGAGCTTCAGTGGCATACGGCGGTCACAGAACACG